AAAAAAAAAAAAAGTATACTTCTAATATATGGCAATTCAGACTAAAGATATGATTCCCCCCCCCCAAAAAAACAGACTGAAACTGTCCACAGGATAAAGGCAGCCATGTCATTTATGTGCTTTCCTTAGTGCTAAGAATCTCAAATACAGTACTGAATCATGTCAAAAAAGTGCAATACATTTCAATAAATTTTGTTTTTAAGAGTTTCTTTCTCTACCTATGAGATATTAAGGCTTAAAGATAAAATGGTAAAGAGACCCAAAAAACCCTCATCAATAACAATCTTTTATAGCACAGGAATATTTTTAAAATCCATATTTAGCTTCAGAATGCACTATGTAATATACTGCTTGCTTGCTTTTTTTAGAAATGGCATCCAGGTTGGACCCAAACTCTGGGCTCAAATGATCCTTCCACTTTGGCCTCCCCAGAAGCTGGGACAACAGGTGCATGCCATCACACCAAGCTCTTCTACTGCTTTCTAAGTATGATTTACAGCCCTAGTATTATAATAAACATCACTTTTATTCCATAAGCACTTATTGGATTAGAAGATAAAGTGCCATGAATGCAAAACGGTTCACTACTGAATTGCCAGAGCCCGTAACAGAAATAGGCTCATGGCAGGGGGCTAGTAACACGGGTGGAAGGAAGGAATGGATGGCTAGGTAATAAGGAGTTAGCCAGGCTCCTGTTTTTAAAAATTAACAAGGACTAAACTGAAATCAATTAAAAAATCAAAGAACAGGTATCTACTGCACACCTATTATTTATGGTTATATTTTAAGTACCATGAGAAATAGAAAGATTCAAATTACTACCGTGATTGCTTCCCTAAAATTTTGCCAAAAGCACTTTCAGCAGCTTTGAAAAAGAAATGCTGACCCAAAAAGAAATTATGCAAACACCTAGAAAAAAAAAAGAGAAAAGATCAAAGAAGAAAATATTGGGAATCCTATCTATTCATTTTATTGCTTTCAAGAGAGGCTGTTTTCAAAAAATTCAGAATATACGGCAGAGAACATGAATAAGAAGCAGGAAACATGATGGTAACCAAAGGCAAAAAGAGATGCAGATTTAAGGAAAAGTCTGGGAGCCAAAGACAAGTTTTTAGACCAACTGATATTTTAAAACTCCTTAATAACAAACAGAACATTAGCATGCTCTGCAGGTCTACCCACAACAGGTGATAGAAATAGTAAAGATTTCTTGGACCAGGTGCAGTGGCTCAAACCGGTAACCCTAACACTCTGAAAGGCTAAGGGAGGAGGATGGCTGGAGTTCGGGACCAGCCTGACCAAGAACAAGACCCCTCATCTCTACTAAAAATAGAAAAAATTAGCCAGGCATGGTGGCGTGCATCTGTAGCCTATTCAGGAGACTAAGGCAGGAGAATCACATGAGCCCAAGAGTTGGAGGTTGCAGTGAGCTATGATGATGACACCATTCACTGCACTCCAGTCAGGGTGACAGAGCGAAACCTGTCTTAAAAAAAAAAAAGAAAAAGAAAAAATGATTTCTCATCCAGAATATACTAGTAATTGCATGATTCAGACATTAGCTAGAAGACTGCATATTCCTTACTCTCATTCACTGTTTAAGTAGAAAAATTAAAGCATCGAAATTTGGTATTCAGACTAACATCAGTCTAAACAAATAATTCTTAGTATCATGAACCATTGCCAATCTTCTAATTCATTTTTAGTAAAAAACAAAACCTAACATTTTCTGTATAAAACACACAACTCCACGTTACTTTTATTATCAGCTGGAGGTATTTCAGTGTATTGTTACAGTGTATGTTTATGACACACCCACTGTGTTTTTAATATAAGCTTCTTGTTTGTGCTCCAAAATGCACTTACTAACTTTATTTCAACACCAATTCTAAATTTATTTCATGATTTTCTGTGTGTTCAAAGGAACACTCCATGTTAGTACAGGTTGAGTACTCATTATCTAAAATGCTTAGGACCAGAAGTGTTTGATTTAAGACAAACACTGGCTTGGGAATAGTCAAACTGTATGGTATTATAAAACTCAATTTACCCTGGGGGAGGAGGTATCTGCTTTGGAGGCTTGGGGTGGGGGTGGGGCACTATTTAATAAATATATTATGAAAAAGGCAGAAATGCCATAGATTTCAGTAATAATTTCTTTATTTCTCCTCAATTCAGCTTTAATACCTACCAAAAAAAATGACTGGGGGAAAAAGGAGAGAAAAATATAATAATCAGACCTCAGCACTCTACCCTTCTTTGTTTGCTGACCTGTATCAGTGTCCATTGGGATGAGGCCTTCAGGGGATGAGCTCTGAATGACTGGGGACACCACAGCAGAAAGTCTATAGCACATCAAAAGGAGCTTCTCGACGACAGGTCTCCATTCACTCGCCAACTGCAGACTGCTGCAACAAGGATATTGGGGAAATTTATTGTACCTTATAGGTAATTTTTCATACCTAACCTTCTCCCCACCACCTGCAAGTCTCCAATATCCATCACACCACTCTGTACCCTGTGTAGCCATAATTTAGCTTCTACTTAATCAGTGAGAACATGCATAATTTTCCTGCTCTTGGATTACTAAAGTTAGGATAATAGCTTCCAGTTCCATCCAAACTGCTGCAAAAAGACTTCCATTTTCTCATTGCTGAGTAGTACTCTATAGTATACATACAAAACATATTTTCTTTAGCCATTCATCAGCTAATGGGCACACAGTTTGATTCCAACTCCTTGAAATTATGATTTGTGCTATGAGAAATACACAAGTACAGAGATATTTTTGATGTAATAATTTTTTTCCTCTAGGTAGATACCCCATAGTGGGTTTGCAAGATCAAATGGTAGACTTACTTCTACTCCTTTGAGAAATCACCATACTGATCTCCACAGAAGTTGTAGTGATTTGCATTCTGACCAACAGTGTTTAAGTGTTCTCTTTTTACTGCATCAACACCAACATCTACTGTTTGCAGACGTTTTAATATGGCCATTCCAACTGGAGTAAGATGGTATCTCATTCTAGTTTAATTTACATTTCTCTGATGATTAGTGATGTTGAGCATTTTTTCGCATTTATTGGCCATTTATATATCTTCTTTTAAAAATGTCTGTTTGTGTCATTTGCCCACTTTTTAATGTGGTCGGTGTTTCTTCTTACTGAGTTCCTCGTAGATTCTAGATATACTAGTCCTTTGTCAGATACACAGTTTACAATTATTTTCTCTCACTCTGTGGGTTGTCTATTTATTCTTATTTCTTTTGCGATGATGAAGCTTTTTAGTTTAGTCAAGTTCCATTTCTCTATTTCTGTTTTTATTGCATTTGCTCTGAAGGTGTTAGTCATAAATTCTCTGCCTAGGTCAATGTCTAAAAGAGCTAGATTTTCTTCTAGGATTTTTATGGTTTCACTAACACCTAAGTCTTTAATCCATCTTGAGAGGGAGGGATCCAGTTTTCATTCTTCTGCATGAGGCTATCAATTTCCCCAGCACCATTTATAGAACAGTGTGTCCTTTTCCCAGTGTATGTTTTTGTCTGCTGTGTCAAAGAACAGTTGGTTATAGGTATGTGGTTTTGTTTCTGGATTCTCCAATGGTCTACTTATGTACCTACTTTTACATCTGTGATATTTCAGTTACTACAGCTTTACAGTAAAATTTGGAGTCAGGTAATAGGATGCCTCCATTTTTATTCTTTTTGCTTAGGATTGCTTTGGGTCTTTGGGTTCTTTTTTGGTTCTATATGAGTGTTAAAATTGTTTTTCCTAATTCTGTGAAAAATAATATTGGTATTTTTTTCTCTCTATTTTTGAGACAGAGCCTCAAGCTGTCCCCCTGGGTAGAGTGCCGTGGCATCACAGCACACAGCAACCTCCAACTCCTGGGCTCAAGCAAGTCTCCTGCTTCAGCCTCCCAAGTAGCTGGGAGCACAGGTGCCCACCATAAGGCTGGCTATTTTTTGGTTGCAGCTGTCATTGTTGTTTGGCAGGCCGGGCTGGATTTGAACCCTCCACCTTGGATGTACGTGGCTAGTGCCTTAGCCACTTGAGCCACAGGCGCCAAGCCATGATATTGGTATTTTGATAGGAATTGCACCAAATCTGTAGATTGCTTTGGACAGTAAGGTCATTTTAACAATATTGATTCTTACGATCCATGAGCATAGGATGTTTTTCTATTTGTTTGAGTCATCTACAATTTTTCATCAGTGATTTGCAGTTCTCCCTAGAAAGATCTTTCATTTCTTTGGTTAAATTTATTCCTAGTTTTTTGCAGCTGTTATAAATGAGATATTGTTGATGCTGCTGTTGTTTTCAGACAGGGTCTCACTCTGTTGCTTGGGCTACAGTGCAGTGGCAACTTAAGATTGCAATCTTAAGCAATCTTCCTGCCTCATCCTCCCAAGTAGCTGAGAATATAAGCATGCAACCACCACATCCAGCTGTTTTTTTTTTTTTTAAGAGAGATAAGGGTCTCAGCGCCCATAGCACAGTGTTTATGGCACTAGCCATATACACTGAGGCTGGATTCGAACCCAGCCCAGGCCAGCTAAACAACAATGACAACTACCAACAAAAAATAGCTGGGCATTGTGGTGAGCACCTGTAGTCCCAGCTACTTAGGAGGCGGAGGCAGAAGAATTGCTTAAGCCCAAGGGTTTGAACTTGCTGTGAGCTGTGATGCCACAGTACTCTATTGAGGGTGACAAAAAGAGACTGTCTCAAAAAAGAAAAAAAAGGGGGGTGGGGGGGGACAAGGGTCTTGCCATGTAGCTCATGCTCCCACCTCAGCCTCCCAAAGTGCTAGGTTTACAGGTATGAGCCATTGTACCTGGCCTGGTTTTGAGTTCTTGATTTGAGTTTCAGCTTAGCCTTTGTCGATATAGAAGTAATCTAATGTCATAGGCTACATTCCTTTCCCAGGACACAATCAACTAAGAAGTTAAAGTTCAAAAATGAATATGTTTCTCATACTTACTTTAGAGACAACTTCTGCAAAGCTCCTGCTATACAGTGGACTCGCCCATACATTGGAAATGATGCTGCTGCCTGAAGCAGAGAATTTTCAGCCTGAGATATTTCTTCTTCAAGATTTTCCATCAAGCATTTGATAACTAGAAAATGTCAACAGAAAACCAAAATAATGCCAGGTTAGAAACATTCATCAGTTCATTTTGGAAAGATGTTTGGAGAACACTTAAGAGATCTAAAAATAGACCTGCCATTCGATCCTACAATTTCTCTACTAGGTATATAACCAGAAGAAAAAAAATCACATTATAACGAAGATATTTGTACCAGAAGGTTTACTGCAGCCCACTTCATAATTGCTAAATCATGGAAGAAGCCCAAATGCCCATCGACCCACAAATGGATTAATAAATTGTAGTATTATGTATAATGTTCTATGCAGCCTTAAAGAAAGAGGGAGAATTTACCTCTTACATGTTTACATGGATAGAGCTGGAACATATTCTTAGCAATGTATCTCAAGAATGGAAGAAAAAGCATCCAATGTACTCAGCCCTACTATGAAACCAATTTATAGCTTTCTTATGAAAGCTATAACCCAATTATAGCCCAAGAAGAAGGGAAAAGGGGAGAGGGAGGGGAAGGGAGGGTAATTGGTGGGACCACATCTACGGTGCATCTTACAAGGGTACATGTGAAATTTCTTAGGTGTAGAATATAAATGTCTTAACACAATAACTAAGAAAATGCCATGAAGGCTATGTTAACCAGTTTGAGGAAAATATTTTAAATTGTATATAAAACCAGCACATTGTACCTCATGATTGCATTAATGTACACAGCTCTGATTTAATTAAAAAAAAAAAAAAACCATTCATCATTGTGTTTCTTCAAAAGCACAACAGTTTGGCTCGGCGCCTGTGGCTCAGGTGGCTAAGGCGCCAGCCACGTACACCTAAGGTGGTGGGTTTGAATCCAGCCCGGTCCCGCCAAAACAACAATGATGGTTGCAACCAAAAAATAGCCGGGCGTTATGGCGGGCACCTGTGATCCCAGCTACTTGGGAGGCTGAGGCAGGAGACTCGCTTGAGCCCAGGAGTTGGAGGTTGCTGTGATGCTACGACACTCTACTCAGGGGGACAGTTTGAGGCTCTGTCTCTAAAAAAAAAAAGCACAACAGTTCCATGAAAACACTTAACTCAAATGAATTTTATACTAGAGATTTTGCATCAAAAAGAGATCTTTCAAGGTTGTCCAGCCTGTCACCCATTTCTAGTTCAGGCTTAACTGAGTATCTTTCCCTAACTGCCTGAATCCATTACAGCATTCACTGTGAATCATCCCTTCCTCTAATTGACGTATCAAACCCCACGCCTATGGATAAAGATGGGCTTTTTAAATAAAACATCTTTATTGTGCTATAATTCATATACCACATGATTCATATATTTAATGTGGTTTTTAATTTATTCAATGGTTTTTGTTTTTTTGAGACCGAGCCTCAAGCTGTCACCCTGGGTAGAGTGCTGTCGCATCACAGCTCACAGCAACCTCCAACTCCTGGGCTCAAGTGATTCTCCTGCCTCCTCCCAAGTAGCTGGGACTACATGCACTCACCACAACAACCGGCTATTTTTTGGTTGCAGCCGTCACTGTTGTTTTGGCGGCCTGGGCTGGATTCGAACCCGCCAGCTCTGGTATATGTGGGTGGCACCTTAGCTGCTTGAGCCACAGGTGCTGAGCCAATGGCTTTTATTATATCACAGATATGTGTAACCATTACCAGTCGATTTTAGAACATTTTCATCTCCCCCCCACCAAAACTCTTTCCTAATAGCAATCACTCCCCTCACCATACCTGTACTCTTCCACACCCATTGGCAACCACTAGTCTATTTTCAGTCTCTATTGATTTGCCAATTCTGGACATATTATATAAATGAAATCATA